CGTGCAGCTCTGGGATCTGCGTGCTCCCCCTATCTACCAGGATGTAGTCGAGGATCGAGTATTCATTGCAAACTGCGCGTTACTTGGTGAACTCCGGCTTATCGCATTCCCTCCTACCGTTCAACACCATCAGTTCGTTGCTTCCCAAGAATTCAAGCATCCTCACTCCGTTGTCATTCACTTTGTCTTCTCCGTGCTGCCCGATCGCCTGTCCTCTACTGGAAGCTTTCCCTACTCTGGAGTTGAAATCGCCCACCATGACAACTTCTCCCTTCCTACTGAACCTCTGGACATCTTCCCCAATTTGTCCAAAGTTGTCCTGCGCCTTGCGTGCGACTTTCTTTGACGACGGTGGGACGCATACGTTCCCTTGAAACAAATCTTTCTCGCCCCTCTCCCCAGGTATCCTTAGCCATAGGCTTTTCTGTTTTCACCACTACTTCCACCAGGTCAAACAAGTGTTCCTTGACCAGGAATCCGACTCCCCCCTTCTCCCTTTTCTTCGCGTCTAAGCCTTTTCTTGCCTTCCCTCCCCACCGGTGTTTCCCTAGTTTGCTTACCACGTCCCCATCCTTCCATTCCCACGTCTCTNGCCTTCCCTACCCACCGGTATTTCCCTAGTTTGCTTACCACGTCACCATCCTTCAATTCCCACGTCTCTTGGATCCCCACTACATCTAGATCGCTTTGTTCTACTTGGTCCACTATTTCCAACCGCTTGCGCTCACTCCTTGCGAACCCGCACACGTTCCACGACCCGACTCTCAGCTTGTGCTTTTCCCTATTGGAGATTTTGCGCACTCTATCGTTCGCCTTCCGCTTCCTCTCGGTGTTCTTCTGACTTGCTTGCTCGCCTACCCCGCTCTGTCATTTCTTCGCCTCCGTCGCCCTCCCCTCTTGTGTCCTTACCTTCTCTGTTTCTATCATGTTCGCGATGCAAACCCTCCATCCAAACTTCTTTACGTAGTTTGACAGCTTCTCGATGTCAACCCCCAAGCACTCTTGGCTGTCTCCCTCGGTCAATTTCAACCGGAAGTGTTCATGTTCTCTGCCTACTTGCCCCCTTGCTAGGCAGTGCAGTCCCTCCCGGTCACAACAAATCTTGAACTCTATCCTCGTCATGTCCCTTGGAATCCCAAACATCAGCAGCTCCAACTTGTCTCCCTTCCACAGTTTCTGCTTCCATCCTCCAAGCTTCTTCACCATCCTCATGATCTCTACGGCAACTGGACCGTGGCCACTTGTTTTTCGTGTTT